ACAATAGTTTAGCTATGAGTCTAGGAGAACTGCATTTGAATCCCGGCAAAGCAATGGAACCCTATTGGGTGAGTCACACTCTCTCAGCCTCAAAAGGAACCAATGACAAAACCCACCTGAAGAAATCTTGAGAAGAAGAAGGAGAAAAAGAAGAAGAAGTTTGAGCTAAGAGTCTGGGGAGGCCTGCATTTGAATCCCGGCTTAGCAATGGATCCCTTTTGGGTGAGTCACACACTCTCAGCCTCAGGAAGACAGCAGCAAACCTCCTCTGGACCAATCTGACCAAGAAAACTGCTTAACTTAGGAATGAATTTAAGGCATGCAGCAACAACAACAACATATTTGGAAACTTTGGCTGGAATGTGGTGTCAAGTGATGCACCAAGATTTGGTTCCTGAAAAGGCACAAGCGACTGCTGCCAAAGGGTACACACCTGGGGACATTGCAATGGAGTAGTTTAAAAAGCAAATAATAACAAGACTAGAATCAGGGAAGCGGGCAAAGCGGAACATCTCATAATGCAACATGTAATAATGCACGGCCACAAGCCACATTTCAGATAAACTCAAGGAACTTGGAGTGAAATGCGTGACTCGGCAGCTAAGGTGTGTTGCAATTCACACCTTGATCCCATACATTTCCTGCCAGAAGCTCTCATCCAACAGGTTGAGCACCTAGCCTCACCTTGATGTTGGCGGAAATGGCTCTTTCTCCTTTCCAGAAGGGGTTATTCAGACTTTGAAAGAAGATGGCCTTTAATAGCCGGTCCCAAAGGGGATTGAACACCCCATGATGTACTTCACCTAAGGCTGGAAAAGAAGGAAGCGATTGCTTCCTTTTTAAAAGTCAGAAATGAAATGCACGAAAATAGATTTGAAAACATGTGAAAGGCACCTAGGAATCTTAGCAGACCCCAAGATGAACATGAGCCAAGAATGTGAAGCGGCAGCTAAAATAGCCAATGCGATTCCAGCCTGCATCCATAGGAGAGTAATATCTAGATAAGGGAAGTCATAGTCCCACTATATTCCACTTTGGCCAGACTTCACATGAGAAGCACATTAGGTCAGGAATCCTCAGAGATGGTTTTGCCAGTGCCTTCCTCCCAAATAGGGCCTCAGGATTCATTGGCGGTCTCCCACCCAAAGACTAACCAGGGCTGACCCTGCTTGGCTTTCCAAATGAGGCTGGATTTGGGGCCTTCAGCATATTTAGGCCCTTAATTGAAATATTACTAAACAGCTGCAGTGGACAGATGAATTATGCATGGGATGGTTGGGATGCATCCATTAGACCTCACAAGCCGTCCGTCCTGGAACGTCATCCTAAAAGATTACAATGCAAACAATTGCACAAATAGCAGCAGGAGCTGTGTGATCCTGCTCATTGTTTTCCTTTGTGGACACAGATCGGCAGTGCTCCAGCCCTTTGCCTTTTACAAGGAAACAGCCTCTCCTTTGCGAGTCATTGGCATGCATTATAACATGTGATGCACTCTGAAACTGTGGTGACACCTTGCGATCCAATGTGGATGCAAATGCTGCGTCAAACTTTTGTCATCTCATTCTAGGCAGAAATGGGTAGAGAGAAGCAATTCCGCACAGTCTTAAATGGGGAGGGGTATGTTATCGAGAAAATGGACCACCTAAAATAAGAAACTTTAAATGAATTTACATTCAATATTTTCCCACAGTCTTGCAATGTCAGCGGACTGCCTTCCAACATTTCACAACTATGATAAAGCCAAGCAGTCCAGCTCCTCTTCCTATGATTGAATTAGTTGAAATTACTTTGGAAGGCTACCTAGTCTCTGGACATGTATACCCCATCCCCATTGATAGGATATCTCCTGTATTGCATTGTCGAAGGCTTTCATGGCTGGAAATATTGGGTTGCTGAGTTTTCCAAGCTGTATGGCCATGTTCCAGAAGCATTCTCTCCTGACATTTCACCCACATCTATGGCAGGTATCCTCGGAGATTCTGAGGTCTGTTGGAAACCAAGCAAGTGAGGTTTATATACCTGTGTAATAATGTCCAGGTTGGGAAAAATAAGTCTTTGTCTGTTTGAAGCAAGCGTGCATGTTTCAGTTTGGTCAGATTGATTAGCATTGAATGGCCTTGCAGCTTCAAAGCCTGGCTGCTTCCTGCCTGGTGGAATCCTTTTTGAGCAGGTGTTAGATGTCCCCGATTGTTTCGTGTCTGGATTTCCCGTTTCCTGAATGTTGTTTACTGTTCTAAATTTAGATTTTTTTTTAACATACTGGTAGCCAAAATCTGGCTATTTTCATGGATTCCTCCTTTCTGTTGAAATTGTCCACAGGCTTGTGGATTTCAATGGCTTCTCTGTTTAGTCTGACATGGTGGTTGTTAGAGTGGTGCAGCATTTCTGGGTTCTCAAATAATATTATTTGTCCAGGTTGGTTCATCAAGTGCTCTGCTATGGCTGACTTCTCTGGCTGAATTAGTCTGCAGTGCCTTTCATGTTCCTAGATTTGTGTTTGGATGCTGCATTTGGTAGTTCCTATGTAGACTTGTCCTGTATCTCCTGTATTTACGAACCAAAATCTTTTCCATTGATAAGACTATTTAATTGGTTACCAGTATTTTAAAAAAACCACTAGAATCAAGATAGTAAATAAGGAACACCACTCAGAAACAAGGGAACTCCAGACAACCAACAATCAAGTGCCAGTTAACATCCCCCAAACAAAAGATGCCTTCAGACAACAGAGGCCAGGCTACCTCCATGCAGCTACCCTCTCTGATTGACTTTGCAGCTTCATGGCTACTCATGCTATTCAAGCTTGCTAATTGCAACATCCACACTTGCTTCAAACAGACAAGGGTTCTTTCTCCCACCCTGGACATTATTCCACATACATACATACATACATACATACATACATACATACATACACACACACAAACACATTCACTTGCTTCACTGCCAACAGAAACTCCGAAGATGCCACTAGCCACAGATGCAGGAGAGAATGCTGCCTGGAACATGACCATATAGCCTGAAAAACTCACAGCAAACCAGTGATTCTGGCCATGAAAGCCTTTGACAACAAAATGGAACTGTATTTTCTGATTATTTCTACCAGTACTTTGAAGTCCTCTTTGGCCATTGAGATTAAAGACCTCTCTCAGTTTTTGCCTGTGTCTCATTCGACGTTTTGGCTGCGCAATGTGCCGGACTCACAGACCCACGGCTTAGCAGTACCCATTTGGTGAAAAGAAAACTTAAATGCTTAATGTTTATTTTTGTTCACAGAGACTATTATTATTCCCTTATTTCCTCTAAATATTACATTTATTGGAAGACATTTTCTATGCTTCCTGTTGTAAGACATATTCCTTGCAATCGTTCCCCACTTTCTCCCACTCTTTCCACACTGAGCAAATATATGGAACTATGGGTGCAGCCACACTGTGGAAGGAATGCAATTTGGCCCCTCATGGCAATGGGATCCCTTCAGCTTTGTCAAACTACAACTCCCAGGTTCCCGTCATTGGGCCACGGTAGTTTAAGTGGCACTCCTTCAACAATGTGGACACAATCAGCTATGACTGAACAATGCAGTTGCTCAATCAGGTTTAATAGCTCTGAGTCAGTGATGCTCCTGTTTACCAGCAAGGAGTCCTTATGACAAAGCAGTACAGGTCTTGTTATCACCATGGCATCTTGCCTCAAAACAAGCTTATCACGAGGAAGGATCCCTGCCACGGCCTTTTTTGAGAATGTCTCCACAGACGGGTGCCTCCGCTGTCTCTGGAAAACCCTTTGCGTCGTTGCTGTGACTCATTCCCAAAACCAACAGGTAGTGACTGGACTTCGACGTCCATCATCCAATGTCAGGGGAGAACTATGGGGGGGGAATGAGGGCATCCCTCACCAAAAAGTTAGATATTATCCCAGAAATAAAAGGAAATGCCCCTTTGTCGCTCAGTTTGCTATCACCACAGTAACTTAGAACTTCGGTTCTGCATTCAGGAGATTGTCACACTACACCTTTTTTCCCAATGTTTTATTGAGTTTCAACAAAATGCATCCATCATCAAAAAGGACACACTTAAACCAAGCAAACATAAAATAATCGAACTACATAATAAAAATGAAGACACTACTTCAATGTCTTATCTAGACTTCCTTCTTTGAGGTTAATCTTCTTGCATTCCATCTGGTGAATTTGTTTATTATTCCTTCCTTATTTTCCTCTAAATGTTGTATTTATTTCTAGACAGTTCCTATCCTTTCTGTTGCAAGAAATAGTCCTTGCAATCGTTCTCCACTTTCTTCCACTCTTTCCACACCTTGTTTACAGAGGTCCCTTAAGTGGCTGAGGGGGAAAAGGAAGGAGCCTGAGGCTCTTAGGAATTGTGGGAGTTGATGTCCAAAACAACTGGAGGGCCCAATTTTGCCCATGCTTGATCTATGATGTTGTGAATATACAGTGCTGTGATTCCACTTTAAATCTAATAGCCGCCTTCTTCGGAATTCTGGGCTTTGCAGTTGAAGGAGGCTCTGGAGGGTTTTTATAAAGGGCCCTTCCAAAACTGCAAATTCCAGGATTCCAAAGGAGTAAATACGAGTGTAGGTACTCAGTGGTGCCTAGGTTAGGTATCTGATAATTTGTAATGCTATATCTTTGAAAAAGTCATCATTTCTGGATTTTATGAGTGGACCCATTAAGAAAATGTATAAGGATATATGTGGACTACAACTCACATCATGTCAAATCAATCCCCCTCAAATCTTGCCAGTAGCTTAAGTTGGTCAAGTTGGGTCTATGTGCCAAGTTTGATCCAGATCCATTGTCAGTGGGACTCACAGTGCTCTCTGAATACAGTGGACAATAATGCCCATCGTCCAGAATCAATCCTCCCTAGTATTTCCTGTTGGTCATGCGAGGTCTGTGTGCATCTAGATCTGTTGTCGGTGGGACTCACAGTGCACTCTAAAAGTGAGGGCCAATAGGAAATTACCCACAAACATAGATACATAAACTTTATTATTACATTTTTAGATATAGAAGATTACTACGATGCAATGTCTTTTCCGATACAAAGGAGAGGAACTGCTTGTATCCCGTGATGCTGCCGTTGGAAGTATCTCCTAAATCTGTGCTTTTTGAGCAGAGGCACATTATGTGATATTACTGAGAGAGTGAAGCTACTTACTGGGACAATGAACGCTGCTGATCTTAGACTCAGACATCATGACATTTATCCTAATCCAATCCCATAGGGATTTAAGGAAAAGGTAGTCTCCTGTCTTGCCAGCTCCGTCCCAGAAGTGGAGAGGACCCTTGCAACCTCCATGCGATTCTTAGGTCTGTCCCTTCTCGCTTTCACCACTTGATACCAAAGCCTGTGTTGGCCCTCTCCACTGCATGGTATTGCGTGTGGAGGGCCTCTCGGATCCTCTCCAAAGATGGGCCGCCCAGCCACTGCTCGTAGAGGTCCGCAACAGTTCTGTTTGTCTCTGGGTCCTCCGGCGGGACAGATTCATACACACTCTCCACCTCCTGGAGCAGGTCCTTGCTGGTTTCCCCTTCCGCTTTGATTTGGCCCCCGCCGTTCAAACACCCTGGAAAAGGAAGGCATCTTAGTGGGCCACAATTGGAACATGAGCCAAGATATTTTTAGCGCCTTCTTTGGAGACTGTTAAAGAGAGGATGGATGGCCATCTGTTGGGGTACTTCACTGGTGTGATGCGGAAGTTTAAAAAGCCAGTGTGTTTCTAGGCTGCATCAATAGGAGTCTAGTATCTAAATTTAGAAAGAAATATGGGCTATGGCTTATTTATGAACATAAGAGGTTCTGTAGGTTTATTCTTAAGTTGAATTTGTATGTAAATCAGAATAGGTACATTTTGAAGTGTAACAAGGACTGTGTGTGTGTGTAAAAGTTTCCCTTGATATTAAGTCTAGTCGTGTCCGACTCTGGGGGTGGTGCTCATCTCCATTTCTAAGCTAGAGCCGGCATTGTCCATAGTCAATGTCATGTGGCCAGCATGACTGCATGGAGTGCGTTACCTTCCCGCTGGAGCGGTGTCTATTGATTCACTCACATTTGCATATTTTCAAACTGCTAGGTTAGCAGGAGCTGGGCTAACAGCGGGAGCTCACCCCACTCCCCAGATTTGAACCGCTGACCTTTCGGTCAGCTTCAGAAGCTCAGTGGTTTAACCCTCTGCGCCACAAGGGGGCCATGTGCTTTGGATAGCATAGGAAAGGGCTAACACCCATGCGGCATTTGTTTTGCCATTTGTGCTGCTGTTCAGAAGATTCCACCTCACTTTCTGTCCCTGTGAGAATTGGATTTTGAACATTTTGGCTTGTTACAGAAATGGGGGTGTGGGGTGTGGATGCCTGGCTCAACAACAGTATATGTGAAAAAGATCTTGGGAGTCCTTGTCAACAGGAAGTGAACATGAGCCAGCAATGCGATGCGGCAGCTAAAAAAGCCAATGGGATTCGGGCCTGCATCAATTGGAGTCTAGTGTCTAAATCCAGGGAAGACATGCTACCCCTCTATTCGGCCTTGGTCAGACCACACCTGGAATCACACTGTGCTCAATTCTGGGCATCACAATTGAAGGGAGATGTGACTCTAAGCTGGAATGTGTCAAGAGGAGGAGGACTGAAAGGATCAAAGGACAGAAGAACAGGCCCTATAAGGAGTGGCTTAAAGAGTGGATATGTTTAGCCTGAAGAAGAGAAGGCTAAGAGGAGACATGATGGCCATGTATAAATATGTGAGAGGAAATCAGAGGGAGGAGGGAGCAAGCTTGTTTTCTGCTGCCCTGGACACAGAACAATGGCTTCAAAGTACAGGAAATTAACATGAGGAAGAACTTCCTAATTGTGAGAGCTGTTCAGCATCTGAACTCTCTGCCCCAGAGTGTAGTGGAGTCTCTTTCTTTGGAGGCTTTTAAAAAGAGGCTGGGTGGCCAACTGTCACGGGTGCTTTGAATATGATTTTCCTGCTTCTTGGCAGGAGATTGGACTGGATGGCCTACAAGGTCTCTTCCAACTCTTAAGATTCTAAGGACTGGAGCCCCCGGTGCTGCAGTGGGTTAAAGCGCTGAGCAGCTGAGCTTGTTGACCGAAAGGTCGCAGGTTCGATTCCGGGGAGTGGCGTGAGCTTTCGCTGTCAGGCCCAGCTTCTGCCAACCTAGCAGTTCAAAAACATGCAAATGTGAGTAGATCAATAGGTACCGCTCCGGCAGGAAGGTAACGGCGCCCCATGCAGTCATGCCAGCCACATTATATTGGAGGTGTCTACGGACAATGCCGGCTCTTCGGCTTAGAAATGGAGATGAGCACCACACCCCAGAGTCAGACATGACTGGACTTAATGTCAGGGGACAACCTTTACCTTTTTAAGGACTGGGGATAAAACTTCGGGGAGACCCCTTTTCCCCATGATAATAACTCTTCCAGGAGTGGATTTCCCTTCTGAGGGGAAGATTCCTCTTACTTTCTGCTGTTTCATTCCCGTTCTTAACTAGGAGTCATTTGTAAGTCGGATGTTTACACACACACGTACAGGCAGTCCCCAAGTTACAAACATGTATATATTAAAGGGATCTCTGACTCTTTAGTAGACTACAAGCTAGACATGAGCCAACAGTGTGATGTGGCAGCCAAAAAGCCCAATGCGATTCTAGGCTGCATCAACAGGAGTGTAGTGTCTAGACCAAGGAAAGTTATAGCTCCACTCTTTTCTGCTTTAGTCAGGCCTCACCTGGGATAACTATGTATCCACTTCTGGGTAAAGCAATCTAAGGAAATGGATAAGATGGAGGGTGTCCAGAGAAGGGCAATCCAAAAGGTCAAAGGTCTGGAAACCACAAATCCCTCTGAGCAGCAGCTTCGTGAGCTGGGGATGTTGAGTTTGGAGAAGAGAAGGCTCAGGCAAGGGGACATTAGAGCCATGTTTAAATATTGGAATGGATGTCCTATTGAGGACCGGGAAAGCTTGCTTTCTGCTGCTCCAGAGACTGGGACTCAATGGAGCCATGGATTCAAACATCAGGAAAAGAGATTCCACCTAAACATGAGAAAGGCCTTCCTAACAATCAGAGCTGTTCAAACATGGTATATTCTTCCTTGAAGTCCAATGGAAGCTGCTTCCTTCTCTAAAGGTTTTTCAGCAGAGGATGGCAATCTGCTAGGAGTGTTTTGACTGTGTCTTCGTGCATGACAGGGGTTGGACTGGATGGCCTTTAGGGACCTCTCCCCTCTCTAGGACTCCCTAGCCCTATTTCTCCATGAACCTTCCAATGTCTATGAGGCTGGATGGCCATCTGCCAGGTGAGACTGGATGGTATCTTTCAGAACAGGGTTGGACTGAATGGCCCTTGGGTTCCCCTTCCAAGTCTAGGATTCGACTAACGCAGATTCTCTCCCACTTTTGAGGACCAGACTCCCAGATCTTGGGTGGCATTTGGGGGCTTTCGATTCGACCCCTTACCTGACGGACAGGCCATCACCTCAATGTAGTGGTAGGGCGACTTCCCCCGCTTGAGTTTCTGCACCACGTTCTGGATGTTCCGGAATCCGTAGGCCAGGGCGAAGAGCAAGAGGGTCTCCCCGTCCTTCTCCAGGGCCACTTCTTGGAAATCCTTGTTTCTGGGAAGGAAAGCCATGGAGAAAGTGGGGAAGGGAGGCCCAAGTGCTAGGCACCGGAACCAGGAGCTGTCCACAGCGAGGGGAAGGGATCGGATTCCACTCACTTTAGGGTTTTGTACTGAATCTCTTCTACTTGGATCCCAAAGAGTTCCTTTGCTGCATGTTTGTAGATGTGCTCCAAGTAGCCCCCGGAGCCACCCCCAGAGTGGCCCTTGAGGAGCTGATCCTCGGAGAGATCGCTAAAACTATAAGACGACGGAAAGAAGGGCAAGTTGGAAGTCACATGGGCAGAACAAATCTACTACTACTACTACTACTACTACTACTACTACTACTAATAATAATAATAATAATAATAATAATATATGGATAGGAGTTGTAGTTCACCCACACCCAAAGAGTGCTGTGAACCCACCCCCACCAACAATGGATCTGGACCAAACCTGGCGTACATACCCAACATGGCTGACTTTTTACTGTTGGAGGGGCTTGGAGGGAACTGACCTTGGATGTTGGGAGTTATAGTTCACCCACACCCAAAGACCCATGTGTACCCTACATCCAGAAAGCCATGTGAATTTCTTTCTAATGGGACCATTCATAACATGACCATTCATAATATCCAAAACCCAAACAATGATTGTTTCTAATATTTATCATTATATATTAGCTAACCTGGACATTGCCATGTACCTAAACTAGTAAATAAATAAATTTACTGGCACTTCTCAAATGTGGGATTATTTATTTCCTCAAATACATCTAAATAAATTTATTTCCTAAAATAAATACAAATTAATTTAATTGCACCTCTTAGATGTGGCATTATTTACTCTAAATAAATAAATTTACTCACATCTGTAAAAAGCAGGATTATTTACTCCAATAAGGCACAGGAGGCATGTTTGGTTTTAGCAGAAAAGAGCTCCCCTCTCTGCAAATCAAAACCAAAAATGACCTCCCAGTTGCTTCCAGTTCACATAAATAGACTGGTGCTTGTTATCAACACAAACTGGTAATTGCTATCAACAAATAAACAAACAAACAAACAAAATGGAGTGGAGATATACAAATCTAGCAAGGACAAAGGATCTTACATGGCATCCAAGGGGGCAGGTTCCACTTCGGAAAGGGATCCCCCTTCCTGCTCCAAGAGCTTTAGGACTTCTCCTAGAAGGCAAGGAAAGAAGAGGCACAGGTTGACTTTGCAATCACTCAATGCCTCTGAAAGGGTCAAGGCAGCGAGATGGCGACCCACCAGTCGTAATGACACAATCCACCTCCCGGGTTTGATGCTCTTGGAGGAAGAAATCTGGCCGGGAGGCTTCCAGCTTCTTATCGTAGCAAGGCATCACTGCCACGTGGTAGATCTGGCTGGGCGCTACATGCTATGGCAAAAAAGAAAGACGAGAACATGAATCGGTCCAACATCGATCCATTCCCCCTTACTGTTCCCAGCCGCACCATGGAGGCAATGTTTTAGTTATCCTCTCTTTAAGCCCTTTAGGGATTTGAGAGTCCCTGAACAAAGCCAAAAGTAAACTGAAAGCCATTGCACCAGTGCAAGGCTAGACGTTCGTGACCTCTAAAGACTACTCGTCATGTTTGTTGTAGTCTTTAGGAAGAACTTGAAGACCTGGCTGTTCCGATGTGCCTTTCCAGAATAGGAAAACTCCAACAACCTGTCCCAGAAGCACTTTATTAGACTTTAAGATTGCTTGCACACTGCACTTACCATAAAATCCGACATACCACCTGTCACATCAGCACATTATTATTATTATTATTATTATTATTATTATTATTTTATTTGTACCCCGCTAGCATCTCCCGAAGGACTCGATGCGGCTTACATAGGCCAAGGCCTCAAAACACAATACAACAAAACAACGCCTAAAGCAAATTAAAATCAGTTAAGCAGTATAAACAACAAACAATAAACAATACATCAAGACACTATAAAAACTGGGCCGGGCCAGAGTAATGGGTACAAGATTAAAAGTGCTGATGTGGCAGGAATCTGTACCCATTACATTTGGCCCGGCCCCAGTTTTATTGTGTTTTGGTGTATTGTTTTATTGTTTTTGTTGTTTTTGATATTGCTTTAATTGTTTTGATTTGCTTTAAGTTGTGTATTTGTTATGCTATGTTTTTGAGGCCTTGGCCTTTGTAAGCCGCATCGAGTCCTTCAGGAGATGCTAGCAGGGTACAAATAAAGTTAATAATAATAATAATAGTCCAATAGGCTTTTAATATGATTGTTATTGGTTTTAATAATCCATCTTTCATAAGTCCCAAACTTATTTCTACTCTAATCTTTTGAGACATTGCACAGCTTTGATTGTTAGTCTTGAATCTCCTTGAGAGAGAGAGAGAGAGGAAGCAGCATAGAAATATTATAAATAATAATAATGATAACAATAATTGTCAGCCCAAATATTTTGGCCCACCACCTCTCTCATGAAATTGCTGGGTGCAGAAGAAACAGACCTGCTGCTTGGCAAAGGATACTACTACTAACAACAACAACAACAACAACAACAGAATCTGCTGAGTGTGGAAGAGATAGACCTGCTGCTTGGCAAAGAATACAGATATAAATACTACTACTACTACTACTACTAATAATAATAATAATAATAATAATAATAATCTGCTGAATGTGGAAGAAATAGACCTGCTGCTTGGCAAAGGATACAAAAATAAATACTATAATAATAATAATAATAATAATAATAATAATCTGCTGAGTGTGGAAGTGATGGGCCTGCTCCTAGGCAAAGGATACAAATTTTATAAATAATAATAATAATAATAATAATAATAATAATAATAATAATTTGCTGAGTGCAGAATAGATACACCTGCTGTTTGGCAAAGAACACAAATACTATAAATAATAATAGTAATAATAATAATCTGCTGAGTGCCGAAGAGACAAACCTGCTGCTCGGCGAAGTGGCTCTTCACCAGGGACCCCATGACCTGCTGTGGTGACTTGGCAGTACTGATGTAGGGGAGGATAAAGCTCCCGTGGGTCTTTTCAGCATAGCAGATCCAGCCTGGAAAGGACCCAAAAGGAAAGGTAAAATCTTTATCTCAAAGATAGTGCAGTCAGAAAAGGGGGTTGGATTGGATGACCCTTGGGTTTCCCTTCTAAGTCTAGCATTCTATGATTCAGAGGCTGGGTGGCCATCTGTCGGGAGGGTTTGGATTGTGTTCTCCTGCCTGGCTGAAGCCGATTGGACTGGATGGCCCTTAGGGCCGTTTCCATCTCTAGGATTTGATAATGTACTTTTCCATATTTCTGGTGTTAATAAGGTTAGACGGCCATCTGTTGGGAGGGATTGGTGTCTTCCTTTATGGCAGAATGCCCTTGGACTGGATGGTCTTTGTGGTCCCAATTTTTAAGATTCTATAATTCTATAGCCCTGTTTTTCCATTAACGTTCGAATGCCTATGAGGATGCATGGCCATCTGTTGGGAGGGATTGGATGGTGTCTTCCTGCTTGGCAGAAAGGGGTTTGGACTGGATGGCCCTTGTAGGTCTCTCCCAACTCTAGGATTCTATGATTCAGAGACTGGGTGGCCTTCTGTTGGGAGGGCTTTGATGATGCCTTTCTGTATTGCAAAAGGGAGTTTGACTGAATGACCTTTGGGGGTCCCTTCCCAATCTAGGATTTTATGATTCGAACACCGTTGTGGGACAGTCGTCCTCCAGAAGGGGACGGGGGCATCTTAAGGGCCTCTGCTCCCTCTCTCTTCCTCACCGGGGCAAGCAGCGGCTAGCATGGGCAAAGCCCCCTTGTCTTCCGACCGCCTCCGGAAGCGCTGGACAAACTCCCGCTGGCTTTCTATCAGGCTGAAGTTCCGGGAGAATGTTGTATCGAAGACAAAATCAACACCTGGGAAAAATCAGGAAGAGATGTCTGTGTAGAGAAACTTAGGGTATATCTACACTACAGAATACAGTCGTCCTCCAGAAGGCCAATAGTGAAAGGACCAAGGCAGAGACATCTCCAGCTCATCACCTGTTTGGGTATCAACCAGCACGTCAACGACTTAAATCAAGACATAGTTTTCTTAGATCTACAGAGACACT